CCTTGGCCTGAGCTCCAAAATTCTCTGAAAGAAGAGATTCTCCAAATCATAGCACTTTTTGGTGGATCCATACAGTCAAACACGAGCTCTGAGAGGGTCTGCCATGGGCAGGTTACTACTCAGTACAGTGGGAAATACCCTGTTCATCTGTTCCAGGGACCAGTCAGGAATGGCTAGGCTGCAGCCAGCAGTGCGTGGGGATCAGTCTGCTTTAACTGACTCTTCACTTTCAGCCCAGGCAAAGTCTGGCTGACCCTGCTGGGGTAGAGCAATTAACATTGCTTTGAAATCTGCTTCTCCACTTTGGCCTTTTAACATCCATACAACTCAATTGCTTTGATTTTCCCCCAGCACAAAAGAAGCTGATTTTTACTCTCAGTGTGTAGTTCATCGACTTCTTTAATGCCATTACATTAGTATCAATTGGCAATGTCCAAAAGGACTAAAAGGCCTGTTTCCAGAATGAAACAGAAGAAATTCTCATCAAACAGGCCACAGTCAGGTACTACTGTTAGGTACTGGGATTTTCCCAGGAAATTGCAGGATGGGAAACAAGAACTTCGAGAACTGTGAAGAGGGTTAAATTCTAGTTAAATCCATAAATTTCTGTAGTATGTAGAAATTCTGCAAATAAATATGTGAATATTTGTCTTTTACACTGAATTCTTGGAGTCCTTACCCAAGTCAGAGAAAGCCCTCTATTCTCCAGAGTCCTTAAGCACGTGTTTAACTAAAAGAAGGGATTTTAAGGAGAATTTCTGTGGAGCTCTATGTACTTTCTATCAGCTGCTTCCATGTGGGAATCAAGCCATTTATGTATACAGTTCCTGACTCTGGGGCAATTAAAATCTCAGCCATAATGTTATATTAACACAGAATTTGGTGTGCCTAATGACATATTAAATCTTCCTAAATTATAGCTAAATTACGAAAAGGACTAATTTACCAAAACCAGTTACTAAATGTTTAGAAAAGGAAGCTAATTGAATTATCTCTTGTTTGTCAGAGACAGATAATCTCCTTGTGAGAAATCTCATTTTTTCTGAAGCATGATTAATTGGCCTTACAAGTCAGAGATAATGACAAATTATGCAGGAGAAGATAAAAGATAATAGTAGGAAGGCTTGGGAGCAGAGAACTAGCAGCTGTTATTTGGTTTGGGTCTAGGTGCCACCTCTGGATTCACCCTGATCCTTGTATGGGCTCTTTACTGCTGCTGCTGCTGCTGCTGGAGATGAGCCTTGCTGCTCTCACAGCCACCCTTTGCTCCTTTCCCTGACATGCTCAAAGCCTCAGCCCCATTCTGATCAATAACATCACCTCCCCAAGAAGGATGCCTGAAAAAACACTTGCCTTTAGGTCAATGAATGGTTTCTACTGAATAATCAACAACATGAGATGTTTTTTAATTTTCCTTTAGTCATGGTAGGAGGGCATTTATGACTCACACAGAAGGTCCTGTCACAGCTTTGTCATCCTGTTTGAAAAGCCTGGCAGGTGTTGGATCTGAATCAAAAGTTTATTGGTTATGTTAATATTACATCACATGGGTTTGAGAATAATCTTCCATTTGCACTGTCTTGTACATGTAGATCATGCTGTAATAGGAACTAGATTTGAATTACTGTCTCATTAACATTATTTGGAAATGTTATTAATTAGATCTGCATTATTTATTAATGTGCTCAAAAGTAAGGTATATTTAAAATTATAGTGGGTGTTGCCACAGCCACATGACTTGAAGGCTTAGTGTCTCAAGCAGAGTATAAGATAGTGCAAAATTCCCAAATTAAATAATGACTGTTGGCACCACTCTGCTTTTCCTGTTGTTCTGACTGCTAAAACAGTGATTTGATGCAAGTATAAGTTCACATATTCTGCTTTTCCTCTGCAATCACTTTTTTACCCCTTCCCAATATCAGTTGGTTCTCTCTCATATTTAGTTGTCCTTTATATCATCAGTTGGCTTATAAGAAAAAACAATTTCCCAGGCATGCCCAGCCAAGTCTCTGAACCTACCACTGTCCACAGTCCCATATCACACACATCCAGTCATCTCCTCACACCAGGACCCCCTGGGGTACCTGAGAGCCATTCCAGCTCTACTTTGGGCACTGCATCCCTTTTGCAGGCAGGAGCACACAGTGGCCTTTTCTTCTGAGGAGCTACTTTGTGTTTTGCCTGCATTTCAAGGTAGCAGCTCCTTTGCAGGCAACCCTTCAGGAGCCCTTGGGCACTCAGCACAGCTTTCTGTTGCTTCCCTGGTGTCACTCTAATGAGTTTAAATATGAAGCAGCTTAAAACATACAGGAGTTGTTTCCAAAAAAGGTGAATAGTCAGTGGTTTATATTCACTGGAGCATTTCAGTAGTTTTAATCACAACAGAATATGCTTGCATCTGGTCCCAGCCCTCTGCATCCTCCCTCAGTACTGTGGAGTAATTGAAGAATAGGATTAAAGGTAATTATTTTAATTGCCCATTGACTGAGGAAGATTTCTGATAGTGCTGGATAGGATCTGATCTATAAAGGAAAGGCTTGTGAATTGTCTGCATCAGGACAGATCCCCACCAGCAGTGGTGTGAGGGGTGCAAATGATCCCACTTGCATCGTGCAAGCAGCCTGTGGATTATGGGCAGGAAACATGGAACACACTTTGTCTGGATGCAGAAGACAGAATGTGTGCACTGTGACACTGCTTACAATGCATTTGGGCTTGTAATTAGCTCACAGAGTGTTCTAGCCCAGTGTAATGTCACTGACTTTGCTGAGGCTCCCTTTGCTGCAGCTGGCAGTGAAAGCACAAGGTTTGTCTAGGAATTAAAGCCAGAAATATGAGAATTGAAATAATATATATTCAATAGGGTGAAATACTTAACACCTAACCATTCCAAAAGCAGCATTTTTGTTGGAAGCAGAAATAGAGAAGAATGATTGTCTACTAGGTAGCTCACCATGTTGAACTTGGAAAACTTTGTCTGTATTTTTTGCTCTGCTGATCCTGCACTAGCCTTTGCTGCAGCACTTGGGCTGCTCCATGTGTCATTTCCCCTCCTGGTTAAGAGTGAACATGCCTTCTTAGGACTATGTGAATTGCTTTCATGATGTGTTAGGATGAAAATTTGTACAAATTCACTGAGGTACTGATAGAGAGGACAAAGGCCTTTGTGATTTTTTTTTTTATGTGTAACTATATAGTATCTATGAAATGAACCACTTCTGATAATGGAAGAAAAATACAGCAGAAAACAATAAATTCAACACTTTTGGCTTAATGACACAGAGCAGAAGTTTGCTGTAGGATAGTAGGGTCCTTTAGGAGATTGTTGGCACATACTTGCAATGCTCTTATGCTTCATCTAGATGTTTGCTGGGGCAAAGAGGCTATCAGAGAAGATGGACCTCTGTCAGACCTAGGCTGACTATTGTAATATTCCCTGTGTGTGATGAGAGCAATTTTCAGAAGTTTGAAGCCTCTACAGGTCCTATTTGTATAGTATAAACATCCTTTCTTTATCAGGTCTGCTAATTAGGTATTTTCTTTGCTTGTGTTTTCCCATATTTGCTTGGTGAGTCAAAGAATTTTAATAATCTTTTTTATTTGATCAAATGCAGTTGGGAGAAACAGATAAAATATTCCTGACTAAAATGATCTGAGTTTTCATTTATAGGCATGAGGGAGGCCAAAAAAATCATATTGCAAATGTTTTGATCATTGACAGTTGTCATCCTTTCTCTTTGGGGGGAGCTGAATCAGACTCTCCTCTTCCTCATACTTTTTAGAGTGGATTTATATCACTGGGGCCTGATTTCCAGGACTCCACCCACTGGCACCTTTTTATTACTCAATGCAGATGTACTGAGTCCAGCGGATTTTTGCCTGATTTATTATCATGTGAACAAGGGCTGCACCAAGCTGTGTGACTCCTGCAGTTAGTTTTGATTTGCACTGATGCAGCTGACAGAAGGAATTGACTTGAATGATCTCACTGTTGCTGTGCTCTTGCATTGTAATTAAAGCCAAAGCTGTGTCGTTATCTCTTTAGAAATGCATGCTGTGCCTGCACCTCTTAGCTCACTTCTTGTGCCTACAACTGTCTGCTCCTCTGAATAACTCCATTCACCAGCATCATTTTGTTGCTGGGCATCTGCTGAGAAGGGGCTGAGGTCCAGCATGACATGCTGGGGCATGTGTCCAAGCCCTGGCTGCAAAGAGCTTCCCACTGTTACCATTCAGGGGAATGAGCTCAGGGGGAGCAGGGGGTGCTGAGCATGGACAGCCATGACCTGTGCTGGACAGGCAGGAGTGCAGACAGGTGTCTGTTCTACTGCATGTTGACTGCCAGGCCTGAATCCTTGACCAAAAATTCCTGGGGCTTACAGTGTGTTTTGTTCAGTCTTGTGACTGAATGCCTCCCAGATGTTCCTCTTTCATTTAGTTTTCCTTCAGTGATTATTTCCAAGCACTGCTGTGCAGTTTGGCCTGAATTTAGGAGTTGCTGATGCTCCAAGTGGTGCTGGTAAAGCTGCTTTGTAGGAATGGGCAAAACAGCAATTCCCTGGGGTGGCTGCAGCCCCGTGTAAGTGTGCCCAAAGCTCTCAGTGACAGCAGCAGCAGTAGCTCTGAGGGTCCCCTGTGCCCAGCTGTCATGTCTCAGTACTGCTCATCCTTCTCCCATTCCCAGGGAGCCAGGGCACTCACCAAAAGCTTTGGAGAAATCATAATCTATTCACCACCCCAGCACATTTGCCTGATCAAGATTACCTACCTTAATTCTCCAGGCCTTTCTCCTCTACTGCTTGTAACTTAGCATTTCTTGTTTATTTTCATCTTTATTTCCCATAGTGTACTGAAATGATGTGTACTGAAACATTTGTTCACACAAATAAGGGAAGGTGATAGCTTTCCTCCCTGACCACATGCTCTCTCTTCTGTTCCAAGTCTTAATTAAAATGATACTACAGGAAGCAAATCAATTAACAGATACCTTACAAATGCTTTATTCACTTACACATGTACACAAAATTACTTACAAGTATCACATTACTGCTTTAGTTTATCTATTAGCAAATGCTGCTAATGAACTGCAGTGTTACTGCAATGGGTAACAGACACCTAGGAAACCAGGGAAAGTATTCCAATATATCACTCTTCTCTCAAAATAAATTTTACATTTTGTTGTTCAAAATGTGTGGAAAAATTACTATCCAGTTTTCTTTGTACATTTGACAAATGACCTGTGAAAGCCAAAAAATGCCCATATTGAAATCCCTTCAGTTAGTTACAAGTAGTACAGTAACTTATTCTTGATAAAAACAAAATTCTGTTATAGCTGCCTTTATGCTCTAACAGCATGTTTCCTCTAAATCCCTGACCCAGCACATCAGCTCTGCCTGATCTGAAAGTTGGTTACTGGATAGGAGGCCCTGGTCCCTGTGATTTTTCTGAGTGATATTTCTTATTAACACACAGAATTTCTAGGCTGGACTTCAGTCTTACAATTGCTTTTTTGTTTGGTTGGTTGTTTTTTTAAGTTGGATTAAATCTCTTATATTAGTGGAGAGCTGGAAAGAATTTATTTATTATTTTTATTATGAACTGCCACACAGAGAGCAGAAACAGGTACAAAAGTGAACCTTAAGAATGTATGTAAGGTGAGAGATTTTAAAAACCCATATGTCTATAGACATTGGCTTGAGCTAAAAGGTTATGAAGATCCTATTTGTTTACAGGTTGTGGTCTTTGGTTCTGGATAATGGTAAGTTGCAATAAAATAATGTAACATCCTGTTTGGAGTCATCCTGTAATGCTACAACATAAAGCTCTGCCTGTGAAATATTGGGATATTACTTAATTAAGTTGGGGCCCCCAAGCCTTGAAATTCTGCTGGATTTCCTGAGAGAAGCTGTAGGAATAGCAGAGGATGCTGGCCAAGAGTTCCCAAAGCTCCCACAGCTGACAAATACAAAAATCTCCCTGTTTTCTTGCACCTTGTGATTATATACAGGATTCTTGAAAGAAGAGGATTAAACAGAATAGAATCTAGAGCATTATTTTCTGAACTGAGACCAGAGCCACTGACTCAAAGCGTTGTTAAAAGTTGGGAAGTGTTTACAGAATAACTTGGGCTTAAATTATTTTAAATTATTTAAACTACACTCATTGTTCTGAAATGAAGCTCTAATTTTTCTTCTTATCATTCCCACTGTAAGAAGCTTGAAATTGGAGCCAGGCAAAGAAATTTTGATGTAATCAAGCCCACCAGAACATGTAAGGCGAGAACAAGAATGAAGGTGCTGGGAAACTGAAATTATTCACAAGTTCTGATTGAACTTAGTGCATTGTTTTATACTAAAAAAATAGAGATAGGGAAATTATGGAAATAACAGATTAGCTTGTTTGTACAGTGTTGACATGAAGTGTCAACAAAACATGAAAAACATTATTTCAAAAAGGAATTTTTCATTTTAAATGGTCGTAATTAATTTTAAATGGTTGAAATCACTAACACCTACAAAAAACCTCAGTTCTAGATTAAAAAATTAAAACTTTAAATGATTGAAATGTTTTCTTACTAACACAAAAAATGTATTATTTCCTGAAATAAATGAGAAGCCTTATATTGTTCTAACCTCAAATGAATGATTTTTCAAGTTATCAAGTTACTTATCTTGAAATATGGGTGTGACCATGAATTCTGCTGCTGAATTATATTGCCACTTTTCTGATTATCTGGTATTTCACTGACTTTATAAATCAATCATATACTTATCACTGAATAAAGAGGATCTATTAGTGAACAGAGCTCATCTATTTCATTTTCCTCACACATCTCCTGCATAGACATGCTGAGGGGGATTGCAGGCCTTTTGGGTGCAGGTGATTGAAGTTAGGAGCACTATAAGCTCTTCCTGTAAACAATCAATCAGCCTTTCAACTAAAGAACAAAGAAAAGGATTGGTATTGGTAGGATTCCTGCCTGTGCACAAGAGACTTCTATTGATCCTCAGACCAGGTAACTGTTGATTGCAAAACGGTTATTGATCTCTTGTACTTTGGTTTCTTATTGTATTGCTGTCATCTCTGAAAAGAAAGAAAAATTGCAGGTTAACAATAACTCTTTGGCTTTGGTTTTACCTGGATTATGCCAGGCAAAACATCATTGTAAAAGCTGAGCTGGGAGATACTCAGATAAAAATCACAGGAATTCTAGAAAATTATTAATGGAGATGCTTGAGTTACATTCATGGAGTTCCTTTCACTTAACTTTTGTTTTAGTAGATGTTCCTTTGTACCTTTGGAGGCATCTGTTTTTCCTAAGTGAATTAACAGAACAAATTCATGTTTGTGGCTGTTGTGGTGACTTCCAGGTGCCCTTGTCACTGCCAAGCAGGAATCCACTATCAGCAAGCCATGCATTTTTGGGTAGCATCCCAGGGCTCCCTGAATTGCAGACACTGGATTATTTTCATTTGGGGTGCTTCCCACTCTTGCCTTTTCACAGGGTGGGGAGCAGCTGAGCAGCAGCTCCTGGGTCCTTTTGTGGCTGCATCTTCCCAGGAGTTTATTACCTGGAGTGGGGCAGCTGCACAGGGCAGCCAGCCTTGCAGTGTGCCTGTGCCAGGGAGCCCCAGGTGAGCACTGGGAAGCTGTGGCACAGCACAGGTAAATCACCTGCCTTAGCCCATGCACAGTGCCCAGCACATCTGGGCTCTCTGTAACCCAGGGTAACCCCACAGCCTTTATTGCTGTGCACCTTTCTCTAGGTGGATGTGCCTCTACTGCTTTGGGTCTGCCCAGTACTGCCACTCCACCTCCCTGTGCCACCAGCACCACTTCCCCAGGACATACCTGTTTTGGCTTGATCCCGTGTTTGACCTGCAAAGTGTAGAGAGTGAGCTATTAATTGTGACTTCCAGAGCCATAATCAAAGGTGAGAATTCAAATGAGTAGCACATTAGAGTTGCAGAAATGCGTGAACTTTTTTATTTTTTTCTTCACTGCTCTAAATCTTTTATTCAGTTTTGCTCCATCTAGTGTCAGTGCTTGGGAAAGCGATCTTGTCTTGCAGCCCTCGATTATGTTAAATGTCACGACACCACAAGGATCGGAAATCAGTGATTCTCTTTTCATAAGGCTGGTGTGAACTTGTGTGCAGAAATTAAATGTGATCCCCAGAAACCTGTGAGCTGGAATATGCAGGAGCTCTAATTCGATGCTGTTCCTGTCTGACTAACACCTGGCACTCGTCTCTTGCGTCAAGAGGCCTTGATTTGTGTTGGTTTTAAGCTGTCCTTTAGCTATCATAGCAGCTTTCATTCCTGGCTAATCCCTTGTTGTCACTTCTCTGACAAGCCCTAGGCAACACAAAGCTACTCAGTTTGTTTGGCAGACTGGTGCTGCCAGGGAGCAGGAGGCTCTTTGCTCAGTGGCATCTAATATTTGAGTTACCCTGGGTGCCTGCTGACAGGGGTGAAGAGGGTGCTCTTCCAGAAACATTTGGCCTTTTTTTTTTTTGTATCCACACTTGCAGCAGCTCTAGGGAAGGGTGGAATTACTCATTCAGTGCTGGAATCATTTGCACCAGCAAGTTTGCCAGCAGCAACCCCGATGGCTGTGGAAGGAATTGCCTCTGACAGGTGTCTGAATATTACCAGGAAAGCATCCTCCTGACTCAGCAGGTTTGGCACCAACTCTTACAATCAAATTATTTAGAGCTGTTCAAGACTAGCCTCAAACAGTTGTGCTGAGGGGTAGGAAGGAGTAAGGATTCTTCCCTGTTTGGCAGCTGTGAAAAGGTCAACCACAAAGGCAGTCCCCAGATCCAAGAGGAGAACAGACACCCTGGGCCAGGTGCCCTCCCAGGGAATGTGGAGGGTGGCCAGAGGAGCAAAAAATAGCCAGAAGTGTGGCTCTGCCCATCAGGTTCATAGCTGGCATCAGTGAGGTATGCTGTATCATTGAAATGGGTTTAATGAATTAATCTCACCCTAGAAGTTTGTGCCATACATACATGTGTATTGTGCATATATATATATATGTATAAAACCTGTCTTTCAGGGACTGTTTGTGTCTGTATTCCCTCAATCCAGGAATGGTGCTAAGGGAGCTGAAGCCTACAGAGTGTCTTACTGCTGCTTTTTAAAGCCTGCTGTCCCCAGCATAGTGCAAAGCTTAATGTCCTTGATTTTGAAGTGTGTGATAAAAAGATTAATTTCATTTTATGGAAAGGGTAACCTGAGCCAGGGACTTGTCCAAGGTTGTTCAGAAGAGCAAGTTCAGCTAGACAGGGCAGTGACAGGACTAGGAAGAAAAAACAGTTTATTACTCTAGTCACTGGTGACTATTGCCTCAACACAGAATGGGTATTGATATTTTGTTTATGCAAATATATATGTACAAGGAGTTGAGACAGCCATTTCTGCTGAGATTATTTGCCCATTTTTAAACATTTGCACACACATGGAGTTGTTTAGATCATCTCTACTTGTCCTTATATTTATTTGCAATAGCATGCATTATTATGGCATCTGTGAAGCTTTAAATATTTTCCATTAAACTCAATTCCCAGGATGCATGCTAGGAAGCCTAAAGCAGTGAACACAGCCTTCTGCCTATCAACACCCACTAATCCCTACAGTGCTGAGCAAGGAATTGGGCCTGTGCTGCTGTATCAACAGGGCCACACTCGTCTTGTGCAGGTGCTATCTACACAGGAAGTGCAAATGTTCTCCTGCCTAAGAGGACTGGAGCCCTCCAAGCTGTCTTCCACTCCCATTCTCGTGTCAGTTCTTCACTACTGGCTGTAGGCCACAGTGGCAATGTGAAGAGAGGCCCTGTAGTCCAAACAGACCTCACAAGAATAACTTGTGACTGATTTTGCAAGGCTTATTTGGATCATTGAAGAAGTTAAGTGTCGTTGCTCACTCTGTTTTTGCTTCAATGTAAACCAGTGACAACTTCTGAAAACTTTGTTGACATGATGATTGAATTGTATATAGAATATCCTCTTTGTCAGAATGAAAGAACTTGTGAAGGTCTGCTTGGGAAACCAAGAGTGGCAAGTGAAAGAACAGCTTAGGGCACCACTGAGGGATGTTAAGAGAATCCATTCACACAGAGGTGTCAAGGATTCTGCTGAGTCTACGTGACTGGTCTGCTGCAGATCCAAGAAGATCAAACTGATTGCATAGTTTAAAATATTCCTGGGAGAGGAAAAGAAAAAATAGGCTTGTTTTAGGAGAGTAAGGATAGATGCAGGGAACTTGCTGCCAGGCTGTGGGCTGAACTTACAGTGTTACCTGTGAATAGCTGGCACAGTATCCGAGGGGCTGCAATGCATTTCAGTGCCCAGCATCCTGGGAAACCTGTGCTCTCCATATTGACCCTTTCCCCTTGTGCACCACCCTTCCAGTGACACTCTCAGCCAAGGCCAAAGTCTCTTTTTTTTTTTTCAATTTGTATTTACTTAGGGATTTTGGTTTGTAAATTTTGGAACCATTTTCCAAAGGACTCCCATATGGTTTTTTCAAGTACCCACTCTAGCATCAAAACTTGATGTCCAGTTAAGTTTATTTGTGAGCTCAGACTCCAGTGACTAGACAGACAGTGTCTCCCATATGCAGGTGATGGGACTCATGAGATGTGGCATTCTGCAATTCACAGTGCTATAGATCAATTTTGGATCAGGTAGAACTCTTCTCATCTCCAAAGCAAGATGTTTGTCTTTCTATCTGACTTCAAACCTGTTTGAAGGATATGATATTTTTAGATCAGATCTTGTTCACTGTCCCTGCCTGTCAGGCTACAGACCTGAACATGACAAAATGCTAGGAAAAAGACTCCTGGTTCAATTGTTCAGGCTGCCACAGTTCTGGTAGTTGGAAGAAACTGCAGCTCAACATTGAAACCTGCACACGATTGCCCAAACCTTGTCTTTTCCATGCCATCTATCTGTGATGTTTATATTTACAAAGTGGACAATTTCACTTCCTATGCAATGTCTGGCACTGTTTTTAATGAATTTTAGAACATATTCGAGGTTTTAAAGTGCAGTTACATGCCAAGACCTGCTCCATTCACCTAAAGAATACTACAACTCTCAAAAGTATTCTGTGTTTCTCAAGCACAGTCTAGCAAAGGAGAGAGAAGTTGGTCCTTTAGAAGTCAGGAGGGAAAATATAAGAGAATATTTAGATGAGGCTTTGGATAGGGAAAGAAAATCACCAATACGCTTGGCAAGCTCCTCCTCTCTTCCATAAAACATCAGAAGAACTTGTGTATTGCATTTAGAACCTGATTTTTCTACTGAATGATTTACATGGAGTCCTGTAGAACCCAGTGAATGGCATGGGGAATTTTGTGTGTGCTGGTGCCCAGGATGTGTTGACAAAAGATTCATTTGTGGCAGGTTTAAAATATGTACCTTTTCTTTTTTAGTAAACATTCTCTGTCTCTCCACCCTTCTCCTTGTCTCTGTATGTCTCTTTCTTTGTCTCCTGTCAAAATAAATCTGGCTGACATGCACTGTAGTTAACTCAAAATATTGCCAGCATTAAATGTGCCCAGACATTTTTATGAATACATTAAACTTGCATGAAATTTTTAGGCATTATAATTTACCAAGCTTACACCAAGATGGCATTTGATACTGACATGAGCTATTAATTAAAAAAGAGGACGTTAAATAATTGTCAGTTGACATATAAATTGCTGTTTTGTTGGCTGACAGAATCTTGCCTCAAGCCTTTTTCTTCTCAAGTGTTAGTAAATATCCCATTGAGTTTAAGGGCAACCCATTGTGAATTGATTGTTTAAATCTTAATGTTATGTACCTGACTAAATAAAGTGGTAAATTCTGTTAATTATTTCACAATGAGCTGTCAGTGGCATGTGGGTATTGAAACACTTGTGTTTTAAGTGTTTTGGAAATTATCGAGGGGGATGCATTCAAATACTTCCTGATTTTAGTGAAATCTGTTCTTGGAAGGGTTCAGTACCAGCTAATTTGGGTTCTGACACAGAGGATGATTATCTGCATCAAGACCTTCAGCTGCTATGAGGCTGAGCAACTCCACTGGCTATGGAAGTGCAGTGCTGGGTGATGCCCACTCAGAGTATTTCCCATCTAGGGAAATACTGAGTGGCTGGTGGCATTTGTAGGAATAATGATGTAAAATTTAAAACAAAATTTGGCTGAAGGTGAATTTGGTTGAGTGTTCTATCAGTTGGATTAAATATTTTTCTCCAGAACAAGCACTAATAATCACCCCTGGTCAAGCAGAAAATGAAGCTGTTTGCAGAAGATTTGCCAATTCTCCTCTCCAGTCCTAAAGGGATGGTGTCTCTTAACACTGAACAGGTTCCAGGTTGCCTTTCCCTGAGGGATTCAGGATGGCTATATGGTTGGTTAGAATAAATCAGGTGATTTCAGATAATAGACTTCACTTTATCAGAGCATTTTCTAGGACTAGCCACTGGTCTAAAATTCCATTAATTAGAATTCCCTAGGGAACTGAAGCAAGTAAGCAAAATCAACTTAGACCTAATTATCATATGTGTCTCTGGTGACCTAAATAAATCCTACTAAGTATTAGTTTATTAGGAGCATTTTTTAATGTTTATATAGCTCTGGTAGTATTTTTACTGCCAGAGGTTTCCTCAAAACCAGTAGAAGGCTATTCTGTTCCCACAGATTATTACCAGCATTATAGAATCCCAGAGAGTAGTACATAAATGCCTTGAGGCGAATGAGAACAAAGATTTGCTAGTAAATTACTGATTAGTACAGCAGAATTGAGTACACTGATTAAGAAGTGACAGTGGATTTCTAAGTTTTTTTCTACTTAGCCATAAAAGTGTCATCTTTAACATAAATAGTTTTGCCCCAAAATATTGTGGAATTAGAGTCTGTCTCACTGGTCAGTGTCAGTGGCTCTAAGGCAAAACGTTTCTGTATTGTGTCACACTTCCAGCCTTAAGACCAGAATTTTGTCATGAAACTGGAAATTTCACTCTACCTTTTAGCAAATGCCTGTAGACTGGGATAAGGAAACATCAAAGAAGTCAATGTAAGGTCACCATTAAAGATGTTAAATTTTGCTGCCACCACAAAGTCAGCCACTTCCCCTAGAAAGATCAGAGGATGATGTAATAAATGTTCAGACTGTCTCTGAAGGAAAATATGGCACATAATAAACAGCAAAGAGAGCTAGAGAAGTCCAGTGTGGAGCAGTTCATAGATCATCCTGTCTGCATTTCACCCAGGCAATAAATCTACCACTGCCTTCTGTGTTTCTTGTCTTTGTCCCTCTCATCCCTTTATTCTCTTTTCTCTTGACTCTGGTCTCTGGCTTTTCTGTTCTGACTTGGCTCTTCCTTATGACTTTCCCATTAATTGCTCTGTCTACACTGCCCTGAAAGCATCATAAAGTTTACCAGGTATTCTATGTTTCTTCTTCTGACTTTATCATAGCCCTAATCTATTTCAGGCTAATGCACAGAAATTGCCGGAGTCTTGTCAGAGAATGGTGTATTACTAAAAAAGGAAACATTTTGTGCCAGTTACACTGAAAGAGTGTCTCCCTGGGTAAATAACACGTGCTGCAGGACTGGGGCCCTTCTCTGTCAGGCACACAAAACATTGAAGCTGCTCCTGCAAAGGCTGTCCTTGCTTTGGTCTTTAATTCAGTGTTTAATTCAGTTTAATTCAGTGTTTACATATGCTGTGCTCTCTTTATGAGGAATGGCTGTGGTGGGGACAGTCTTCTATCCAGCTCTCTGAGAGAGGCCAAAAGCCATTTCTGAAATCATAGAGTACAGCTGTTGTCTACCCTTGATGAGAATGCTCATTAGTTGATGTTTGGGGGTTTTTAGTCACTTATAAAATGTCTCAGAGGGACACAAAAAAGTGTCCACATCTGTAGGATACATCTGTAACATGTGTAACATCTGTAGGTTACCATGAGCCACCAGAGCTTGCAGTCCAGAGCCTCTGCTCCTGAACACCCCTTCCCCACTGCCTGTCCTTGGGGGAGATGCAGAGTGGCCATTGCCCAAGGAGGCTGGCACTGCCCTCCTGCTGCTGAGCTGGTCAGGTGCTCAGACCCTAAAATGGCCTTGCTCTTTCTGGGTAAGGGGGAGGAAGGTGAAGGGCAGAGAGGCATCCCTCCCAGCAGGAATGGTCACTGTGTGACCCTGACTTGTAAGTGTGAAGGGAGTTTTCAGAACTGAGGTGCAGACAGAGTAACCTTAGAAGAAGCCATTTACCCAGAGTTTGCTGTTATTATTCATGGTACAAACAAACAAAAAAAAGAAGTTTCATCACAAGTGTTTGAAGGATTTTCATTTTAAAATGTCTGCTGGGTTTTCTTGTGTATTTCTGAAACGTTGAGAAGTTGTTAAAAGAACATTCCTTTTTCCATGCCTACTCACTAGATATCACAGTTCTCTAGGGGCTTACCATGTGTGTTAGGTGCAATCATTCCAGCATGGGGAAGCATCATGCATAATGAGAGAGAGAAATTAGAAGTTGTGCATAACAGAAAACACAGTGACTCTTACCTTCTATCCATTTTGCCATCTGACTCTAAAGTGAGAAGAGGAAAATGTGGTTAGTCAAGAAACAAGGAACAGAGTGGTGATAGGCCTCCACAGAATTTGTGAGGAGGCAACCAGGAATACATAGTTACAGCTGGTAAAGATCCAGCCATCCTTTCTGAGGCAAAACTCTTTGATATTAGTTGTGTCATGCAACTTTCCTAAAGCCCTTCTTGATTCTTCCAGCTGGAATATCTCATGACAGGTTTCTCAGACCTGTGTCTTAGCTAATACTTTGTCTGGTTTGAGTTAGTTGTAGCATATCCCCAGGGTATGATGAGAAACAACTTTGAGGCTAAAGAGTAGACTTGGTTATAGTGAAATGTAAGTCTGCAGTTCTAGGCAGTCCAGCAATTCAGACACTTTTAAATTAGTTCTTCACAGGAATGCCAGAGCTGTTGTAAATACACAATTGCTAACACTGAAGCTCAGATCTGCTGTATCAGAAGATGAGGAGAGCTAGATCTATGGAAAAGGGATCAGGAGTATTTTTTTCTTACCTCCGAAGACACTGTCAATCTCTTTGTCTTTGATCATGCATATTATTACTGCCAGAAAACCAAGTGCTAGAACTGCTCCCAGAGTAACTCCTATAATAACATATGTGTAATCTGCAAATAGTGAAGACAACTCAGTGAATATACACCTTTAAATAATAAATAAATTTTTTGAGTTTCAGATGTAACACATCCCTAAAAAGAATGCTAAGCCTAAGTGGCTGAGGAGAGTCTGAGTCTGTTCTTTAAAATCCCTGCATACAATGAAGCCATGTGAACCTGTGGCTAAGGGGCTCGAGGGTGTTTTATGATAATGAACAACTTCAGCTTTTGGTGTGTGCAGGTCTCAGCTGAGTTTTAGAGCCAGGGCTTTACTTTTACCCCAAAAGCAAAATCCCCCATCCACGCTCCTTTGCCAATCTGCATCCTTCCAAACTGTTATTGCTGCTTCCAGATATGCACATATCCACCTCCCAGTCCTGAGCCTCCTGCCTTGCCCAGCTGCTCTGCCTCTGTAAGTCTTTGCTGGGAGGAAGGAGAATTTGAAAGTGCAAACTGTGTGTTGTGATTTGGCATCACTGTGTGTACACAAGGGTAGTATGTCAAGCAGGGGGTGCCTGTGTTCAGGATCTGAGTCCCACACTCTGTCCTCATACACGTGATTTAAAGAGTCAGTCACATGGCAGGACTCTGCAGCATAGGCAATTACAAACTCACAATGTTTATTTTCTACACCTAAAAAGTATATGAAGTCTTCTGAGGACATTCAGTTTTGTTATTTTGCCTCTAACTTCCTGTCTGGAAGTGAAAATCCCACCATGAACTCACCTATTTCCTCCTCCCATGGGTTTCCAGAAGCATGTACCTTTGCTCTCCAAAAATCTGGAATGGAAATATTTTAGCCTGTTAGGACACTGAGCAGAATTCCATTTCTGGCTTTTTCCAAGGGGATACTTGATTCTAATAAATCCTAGGATAGACTCTGAGCCTTCCTGCAGTAGTGAAATGTTATCAGTCAAGTTAATGACAGCATCCTAGAAATGTGGCCACACACAGAGAAATGTGCCAGGTTTTGACCAGAAGAGAAAATACAATTCCAAAATTTTATGTTGCCTTACAACTGTTTCCATTCCATGATTTTGTCATTGCAAGCCAGAGAGCTCTATGCAAGAGAAGCTGCTTTAAATCAAGGAAAAGATTACAGATGCACCAAAGCTAATAAAACATGCTAATAAGTGAGGATATGGCATAGCCCAATACCCCTTTTCCCACAAATCCCAATCCTGCCTGCAGTTCCAGTCTTCAGAACGGGATTTATTGCTGGCAGAGAAGAGTCTTTTCCTCTTGCAAGCAAATTTTGTCAGCTGGAAACAAACCTTTCCAGAGAGTTCTATACCAAGTTTCCTGTTCATGAAAAGGACACCTCCTGGCTCTTTCCTACTCCATAAAGCCACTAAGCCACTCTGATGCTCAGAGTGTGCAGGCCCTCAGAATGGAGTGGCTTTGAAGAAAACAATGCATTCCCACACACTTTAGCAAGAAAACAGAATCAACATCTTTTAAAAATGAGAAAAAGGAGAGGTCATGTTTCGTTTTAATGTTGCATGGTTATTATAGGAAATTGTTTAAAATGTACACTTGAATGTTTTTTTCAGTGCAAGGATATTTCCACCAGGGGCTTTTCAAGTAGCTCCAAATGATGTAACTGATGTGCAGCTGCATGAGGTGCTGGGCCATGAGGAGGCTTTAAAGGCAGATATGACTCCTGCATTCTAAACCTGTGTGCTGCTCAACCCCTGCCCCCTGCACGTGCTGCAGGCACAGCACGAGGTCACTGCCAGGGTGACAGCACCAGGGGCACCCGATGGGGACACAGCTGCTTTGCACACAGCAGCATCTTCTCATTGGCATTCCCCACCATAGCAGGAATTGGGAAGGGAGTATTGTCTGGCTGAAACACAAGTAGAGTTTCAGTGTCTTAAATGCACTCAGTTTTCCTATTGCTAAGGTGTCCAACATTATAAGTCCCAGCTCCTCCCCTCCATGTTTTGTGGAGAAAGAATTTTATTTTCTTGAGGTTTTGGGGTCTGTACTTTCATTTGTTGTCCAGTAAAATGAATGCTAGAAACATGACTGCTTTTAAGCTTGAAGCTTACATTCCAAAACAAGGCATTTTGGTATCTTTACAGAAATAATCTCGTGTCTGTTTTTCAGACTGCTAAAACTCTTGAGCTGAGTGTGGGCCTGGGGCTTCCAGGGTTATGCCAAAAACCCCTGATATATTGGGTGGCTTACAACAGATTTATTTTTATTTCCTGGTCTTAATCACATTTCTATTCTCAAATTTTAATAAATTACAAATCAAGCTTCAAAAATCTGGAGAAGAGCTTAAAAAAAATCTTGAGTTTTCAAGCAAATATGTTTTGGGAACTATAATTCAGAGCTGAAAGTTGTTTGGTTTTTTTTTGGCAAACTTTTCTACATAATGAAAATATCTGGAAGCTTATTTTGTGCAAGCAGAAATGTTTTCTCTCCAAAACCTCCATGACACTCAGAGGAGAGTTGTGAGGAGTAGAGAATCTATGCTTACACTTGTCGCAGACATCTTTTTCACTAAAAATCCTTTCTTTAGGATTTTCCCTTCTTAGGAGCTGAGGCCTCAGAAAAAGAATGTAAACAATGGTTATCTGTTGCTGTGGATTGAAACAGGTGGATTTTTGATTGGGCCATCTTGAATGTTTATAATTAATGGCCAATCAAGACGGGGCTATCTCAGACAGAGTCTGAGAGAGCTGCCTTTTGTTATCATTCTTCTTATTCTATTCTTAGCTTAGCAAGCTTTTGAGGAAACCTGTCCTTCTATTTCTTTTTAGTATAGTTATAATGTAATATATATATATATATATCATAAAATAATAAATCAAGCCTTCTGAACATGGAGTCAACATTCTCGTCTCTTCCCTCATCCAAGAACCCTTGTGACCACTGTCGCATACACTGGCTCTACTTAATGACCAGTACCAAAGTTATAAAGATAAGGAAATTTAAAGATAACAAAAAGCTCTAAGGCTACACAGTGGGCACAAAAAGCATAGCTTCTGGTTTTTCCATATTAAGAGCTGGTCTCTTTGCTCTCGCCTGTGATTTTATTTCATTATAAATTTTAAAAAAACCACCTTTCTTCCATCCCCTTAATTATTCTTTGTGCTCATGTGAAAAATGTTTTAAATTCAAGCATAATAAAAGTGATATTGTATTACTTTTATTATCCTAATGATCATAATACATAGACCTTAATGTATGCTTTCTAATGGAATTAAACCAGTGACAGATTATGTGTTTTATGGCAGAAATAATATTTTACATGGAATATTATATGTAGGTCAGTTTAATATATTGAGATTAAATTATTAGTTTCTTTTTAAAAAGGGAGGGAAATTCCTGAAAACCCACAAGACTAAAGAGAATATTTTCAATTCATTCTTGCAATATGCTTTTAATTAAGGTTTAATATCATTTACTGGATGCTGTTTAAATACCGTTTGCTTTCAAAGGCAGTGTTAGGTGGATTCTATTTGTTTCAGTTTTTTCTTGGGTGGAAATAGGTGGATTAACTAATTCAAATACCCGTTTTTCTGTTTGATCTTGATCTTATCTGCAATTTAGATCTTTTGGGGAGGTACAAAAATCTCCCATTTGGGGGGGTTAGAAATGATGGTTTAAACTCTGCAGTGCTGGATTTCTGACTCTATAGAGAGTTCAGACTAACTCTCACGTCTTGAATAAACCCTCTAGACTTGCAGAGTACTTGCTCCTGTGTGGAAGAGCCTAGCAGATGAATTTGATACCCAGGCTTGAGTGACTTGTGGATCATTTTTCAAAGAGCCCCGAAGCCAGTGCCGGTGCTGTTTGCCCTGTGCTGTGCGCTGGCTCGGGCACGGTGCGCAGCTGGCACAGGATGGGGATGTGCCCCCGGCTCTGGCAGCACCAGGAGCCCGCTGAGACACCGGGCAGCGCCTCCAGCCGCTGGGGAGCACCTTGGTGAGTGCGCCGCTGGCACAGACCGCGGGCTGGATGGGCCTGCTACAGGTGGGGGCACTGGAGAAACAGGAACGGAGAACGTGCCGGGGTGAGCTGGGCTGGAGCCGGGCGCCAGCGGGGAAGCTCTCCCTGCCGGCTGCAAACGCTCTGCGACTCCGAGCATCACTCTGTAACACAGAGTATCTGTCTGCAAGGCGGAGTATGGCTCTGTAACACAGAGTATGGCTCTGTAACGCAGAGCATGGCTCTGTAACACAGAGTATCTGTCTGCAAGGCGGAGTATGGCTCTGTAACACAGAGTATGGCTCTGTAACGCAGAGTATCTCTCTGCAAGGCGGAGTATGGCTCTGTAACACAGAGTATGGCTCTGTAACGCAGAGCATGGCTCTGTAACACAGAGTATCTCTCTGCAAGGCGGAGTATGGCTCTGTAACGCAGAGCATGGCTCTGTAACACAGAGTATCTCTCTGCAAGGCGGAGTATGGCTCTGTAACACAGAGTATCGCTCTGTAACAGAGTACGGCTCTGCCGCTGCGGTTACCCTCGGCGAGGTGGAGCTGCTGAGCAGGCGATGGAGCTGCAGATAAACTCACTGGGCTGGCTGCCTCCAGGCTGTGATCTCGGTGTGACTCTGGGCAGAGTCAGCTCTCCCCAGGCCTTGCTGCACACAGCTGAGCCAAGCAGAGAGCAGCCTCTGTGTCACACTGCTGTGCCCGGGCTCTCTGCGACACAGCGGTGCCTTGCCCAGAGGTCAGCTCAGCCAGGAAAATGGTGCAGAATGCAATTTGGGCATAAAATCAGGGAGCAGGAAGAGCTCAATTTCCCCACCGGATTAGGTATTGTGAACCAGCCATAACAGCAATGTGTGCCTCGTCTTTTTAAGTACACAGCGTCTGCCTTAGTCCCTTTGCTTGTTACCTCCTGCTTCCACATGACTTTTTTTCTTTTCCTCCAACAACTCATATTTCTCCTCATTGCAACAGATAATGGCTGGTCCAGTGGCTTTGCAGCAGCCAGGACCTCACTGCCATTTGTAATTGAGGCAGCAAATAGGAAAGGATGCAAATCTCTGGGAGGCCCAGAGGCAGGGTAGAGCACGCTGCAGATCTGTGGACAGCTTTGCAGAAGGTGAGGCAGGAGCGGGTACCCAGTGGGTGCAAGCGGGAATAACTGGTCTGCATGTCTCAGGTGGGGCAAACTGCTCCTGTGGGGCTCCCCAAGGGTAGATGGTGATTTTCTGTGAATGTCTGCATGAAGCCGGGTAGCATGGGAGGAGCTCATTAGGTAAAAGCTGAGCCTTGCCACCAGAGGGTGGTGCCTGCCCCCTTACCAAGCATCCAGGTAAGGCAATAGCCCATGGAACTGCTGCCAGCCCCCCCTCCCCGTTAGACCACACTGTCCCAGTGCTCCTGCTGAGGCTTCCTAGCCACGAGCCCCACTTCTTCCCTGCACAAAGTGGAGATGAGTAAGAATGAAATAGGAAACAGGTTGTGAGAAAGCCCTGCTTGGGCCAGCAGGGAGCATTAGAAGCAACGTGAGTCGGGACTCTGGCTGTTCCATAACGGAGAGATGCAGAGTCCAAAAGCAGCTTGCAGCCAGCATGCACGCAGGTCAGTTTTCCCTCAAACTCTACTGAAGTACTGTTTCCTGGACAGGGAGAAGGAAACAAAGTGCTAAACAAGGTGCTCAGCAGGTGCACATCTAATCTGCAAAGCTGCAGGCATTTGACTTCGCTGTGTCTTCTGGACTGTGCACAGCTGAGCCCTTTGCACCCAGAATAAGAAACCTGACCTAGAAAACTCAGCAAAATATCCCTCTGGCTCAACAAACGTTTTTTTCCAAGAAACAAAATTTTACACAAGATATAGACAATTAAGCTGGGGAACAAATAAGCCCATCAAGCTCAAGAATAAAAGCTCTCAGAAAGAATGGAAAACAAATAAGTTAGATCACTTACGTAAGAGAAGAAATGCTGTTGGTGCTGATATCCAGCTTGTTAGTAAGGTCATTATGAAGTTGTGACAGCAGAGTGGTTTCACTCAAGTTTTCATGAATTTTGCTCTTCTGCAGTGTCTGAAAAAAAAAAGCTAAAGCAGGTCACATGATTATTGAGAAACTACAGTCACATCCTGAGTAGTTAGATTTGCAAACAAAAGTTCCCTTTTTTGGGTTTAAGCTCAATGCATAAACAAACTTGAAAATGTTTTGTAGAGAAGGTGGACAGCCAACAGCACAGCCTAGTTCAACTGAGATTAGAGATTTGCTTTCTAAGGGACCTTTAAACACTAGCAGTTATTTTTGCATATTGAAAACATCCTATCACAGTGAATTTGTTTCTGCTGAAATCTTCTGAATCTGTGGATAACCAAGTGGATTTTCTGTCTTAGAAGAAGAGTTTTCTGAGGCATTCTCTTTCAGTATTGCTAGCTTTCTTATGAACTCAACTTGAATGCTATCATGTTTTCAGCAGAGCACTCATTTGAATATTTCCCTTTCATAATCAGCTTTTTCAGGAGTAGAGAAGCAGCACACTATGGCTGCTAAATTATTGCAAGCCAGTTCCCAGACAGTAACTTCTGAGAAAAATGTCTTGATGTCCCTGTCCTATTTTGCTGTGTGAAGCATTGCTACAACAGATTGAGTGTGGCAGATGTCATAGAAAGTATTTGTTACTGCCTTGACCTGTAGTGTTGGTGTGCACACACACACACACACGTGTGTGTGTGTGTGTGTGTGTGTGTGCGTGTGTGCATGTGTGTGTAGTTCAGTTTTGCTCTTTCTCTGCTCCTGGTTCTCTATGGGACCAGAATTGGAAACACCAGAAGCAAGCAAACAAAAATCTCTGCACCAGCTGGATGGGAAAGATGAGGACCCTTGTAAGAAATCTGCAAATGATCCCATGCTTCAAGGTTCCTGAAAACCTCTTCTAGAAGTAATAACAGGAATGTCAGCTTGCTTGTTTTGTTTTGAGGTTTGGTGGTTGGGGTTTTTTTTTATTTGGGGGTGGTTTTGCTTTATTTTGCTTTTGTTGGTTTTTGTTGCTTCTGATAGCCCAAATCAGCAGTCTCAAGTAGTTTCAGTATTTCAGAGAAGGAACTAAGCATCTGAGTATTTGGATGAAATCTCTAAAGCTATTTGCTTTATTCCATTGCTACTTTTCCATGAATGCTTCAAAGAGCTTATCTAGGTGACTGCACACAGCTCACTGTGTAAGCTTCACTGTTCTTGTTCACAGCAGACCTCCAGCAAGGAAAAGCACTGACCAGAATAAGACAGACTTAATATAATCCTGCTTTGTAATAGGTTTATTCTGATTCTTGACCAAATTGGGAAATGTGGTTTCAAGCACCGTCATCGTTATCAGCCTTCCCTCTGTTCTTCACCATCCAGCCAGTGGGTAGGATATATATGTTTAATTAATTCTGCTTTTACCTTCGACCTGTAAATAGTGGGAGTAATGTCAGATTTATACGTTATATGAATAACAAGGATTTCTCAGGAGACTCTGTCTTGGTGAAAGAGGCTAACTGTAATTTTCAGCTGTGAGTAATTGTATATAATATAATCCTAAATGATTTTTCTTCTGTAATTTCATTAGAGTTTAGAAATTTAATTAGATTTTGAATCACTCTGAAATAAAGTAGCAAAACACCCAGAGACTAAGTGCAGTGGTTATTTTGTCCTCTGAGGCCAGAATTCTTGGTCTCAAATTGGCATGTGTTCATTAGGAGGAAGTTTGCAGAAGTTCTTGATATATTATTGTCTTTCAGAACGGACTCTGAATAGGTCTTTGGAGAGCATTAGAAGAGCACACAATTATTATACAGACTCTTTTTGAGGTTTAAGATCATCTGCCTTTCATATACTTAATAAAAATACGCCTCTAAAGTTGTTTAAGAAACTGTGGAGATAGGAAAGATGCTACTCCAGTGCCTCAGTGCTCTTCCTGGTTTATTAGCAACTCCAGTACCTGTGTATGATGATACAGAGAGGAGCTGTTTGCTTTACTTTAATGATTAGGTAGGTTTATGGTTATTTTTATTGCTACACATATGAACTGTCATGGTGGATGTAATTAAAGACACACTAAAATGCTGTTCCTTCTGTTCCATCTGAGGTTCAAAAGAAATCTGTCCTGGCCAACTTTGATTCTCTGTGGAATTCATTCTATGGGCAAAAAAATGGACACAGATGGCACTAAACAGCACGAAGCAAAGACCAGTGCAACAGCTTATGGTAGCATGGGGTGCCATGATAGTTGTGGGTTCAAAAAGGAGATTCTCTTAAAAAATGAAAAAAACAAATATTGTAAAATCAAGAGTTTCAACAGGAAAAATCAGACAGACAAACATACAAAAGGTCTCTCAATAATGGCAAGCTAACCTATTTGAAAAGAAAGTAGTAGGTCCAGTGCAATGGGATGCAGTCACAAAGTGAAAAATCACAAAGAAGCACCCTATATAAGCAGAATATTCTGTTACAGACTGAGCCATGCAAACATTGCCGGCTGACTCATGTCAACATCCTCTGTTGACAGGATTCCAGCATCCACTTCAGCGGGACACCGATTGAAACAGTTCCTTGATCTGATCCAAGGGGTCATTTCCTTTGTTTCCTTAACAGCTCTTAAGGAGAGCTCATCATCACACAGATCCAGTCCTCAGGCTCAAATATATGCTTTCAGAGTGTGGCCAAGTAAATCTTGAGTCCAATTGAAAAAGATTGAAAGATTTTGTACATTTTTCTTGGTGGATACCGTGGTGATTAGACAACCTCAGGCAGCCAGCTGTGTGTGGGTATGCTGCCTTCCATTAATGTGTCATGTCACATCATGGAACAAATTGAAGAAAACATGTTCAGGCTGGCTACTGCCAAAAAATCAAGGTGCTTTTGCTGTGGGCATCCAGAACAAATGGAAACTATGCTTGAAAACTTGCAGCTGCTCTTCCTTTGCTATTTTCTCCATCACCCCCTCTGTCAGGACTCTGAGCTGCTGGGACAACTGGAAGGGATTCCACAGGGCAGCAAGCAGCAGAATCACAGATGTCGGGTGTGCTAACAAAGGGAAACACGCCTGCACCAGTTATTCAATGCTTTCCTCCCTTGCTGTTAAGGAATACTGTGGGAAACCATTCAGCATTCCAGTCTTGCTCCTTTTTTATTCCCCTCCATCTCTCTTTCCTTTTCCATGTAAAGTAATGTGTTATGTTACAGAGTTGCTGGTACATTTTAAAAACGTGTTTTCTGGATTTTACTTGAGAGACACTATAGCTTGGCCCTGTTACCAACTCAGAAAGGTGCAAGAAGGCAAAGAAAAAAGCCTTGGGACATGTACTCAAATCTCTTGTGTGCATCAGGAAGGACAGTGCTGAAGTAGTCTCTACATTATTTGTCTCATTGCTGGAATCTGAGTGAGCAACTGGAGGAGGAGATTTTTCCATAGGGTGTATATTCTCTGAAGCACTCTAAGTCCCAGTGGAGATACTGTAGTATTTGTAGAAGTGCCAGAGGAACTGGGATGCTACAGGGAGGAGAAACAATCCCACAAAGCTCATGAAACAAGTCATTGTGGGAGAGTTTGGCTCCCTGGGCAGTGAGTTTTGGACTGGGTGACCCTAAATGAAGGGCTCCAGTATTCACTGGATGATATTGTCTGGTCCTCTGGTTATCTCAGTCACTGGAGGGGTGTTTGTTGATAAAGTTCCTTTACTGAGGCAGCACTGCTGGAATTTTTCCTATGTAGGTATTCATACAGCATGAACAAAACACGCCAGGCAGCCTGGCTTTGTCATTGTTGCATATTCTGATACACTCAGCTGTGTCTTAAAATACCTTTGACGTGTATGATGATAACTTAGACAGCTCCTAAGCAGCCTCTGAAAATGGCTAGGTTCTTACTCTCTGAAGGTGGAGCGTGGAGGAGGAGCAAAATGCAGTCAGAGCAAGAGGAAAGGGTAAAGTATGTCCAATTTCCTTCCAATATTCTTGCATCTCCTGTCCATCTGTATTCTGTATAAGCATGTTGGACTTTATTAAAAGGAAACCATGGTGAGTTTCCTCTAAATGATCTACTAAAGAACATAGGTAGTGGAGTAGAAGAAACTTCTTTTGTCTTTCCTATTTCAAGTGTAAAATAGGATTTTCAACAGACTGAATCTTCAAAGGAAAATATGCTGTAAGAGTGGAAAGGTTGAGCATCTTTGTGAGGAATTAACTCCTGAAAAACACCAGCTGTTCCTTTGTGAAAATGTAGATTCAGTGCTCCATAGGAGTGGTAATTCAGGTAGTTCATGTCCCTGTTATTCCCTCTTGGCTGGGTCACCCACTGAATTGCATTCTCATGATGTGCTGTAACCAGAGAACAGAATGATCCATTGCGCTGGCACAGCAAAATTTTGATGTACCCAGGGATTTTTTTTTTCCTACTGTTTCTCAGTTCAACCATCAAAAGAGGGAACATGAAATGTGAAATATGTAACTTCTACAAGAAAGCCTGGTTAGTTTCTGGGTGAAATGTTCAGCTTGTGGTTTTGGGTGTGTGTGTGTTTGATTTAGTGATAAGGAAGTTTTGCTGTCAGACTGCTAGTCAAGGGCAGCTATGCCTAGTGAACAGTGGACAGCTGGGCTCCTACAGGTCATTTTTATTATTCCTTGCATGTACAAACATGTTGCACTTTACTTTTGAAATCCTGTTGTCAGAAGCCAATTTTGAATGTACATAGAGCAGAGTTACTTGAACAAACCATGCAGTTCCTATTCAAAGGCACTGCCACTTTCTTTATAATATGAGCAATACTGGTGACATGACATTAGACCTAACTGTATCCCATTTTGGTGCCAACTAATATTTGCACTTACACAAGGCTTTTAAGAAGCTGGGACTTCTCTTGACATAAAGCAAATGTTGCATCTTTAATGGAATATAAGAGGTATAAACAAGTTAATCTCTTCTTTGGGATTAGAAATGTATTTCTTCTTTTACATCTAAAAGCACTAAAAGTCACTAGACATCTTCATAAACACCAGGTTAAAGTTAAGCAACCATTCAGCATT